TACCTCTGGTCAGAATAAGCCAATGGTCACATGGGGGATCTGTCACTGAGACACGTCTGGTCACTTCCTGTAAGGATTGCCAGGATAATTTACTGTCAGTTCACAAGAGGAGGCTCTTTTGTGGGGATAACACTTAAAAATATATATGCAATTTTTATATACACACATACTTATATTTTTATACATAAAGGCAGGCACACACAAACATATATAAACTTATATGTGTGTGTATATATGTACATATCCATACCCATATATATATATATATATTTTTTATGTGCTGCATGTTTTTGTTTTTTTTTTGTTTTTTTTTTTTTAAGATGCTGCTCGTATGTGGGTCGCCGAGGAGGGGGCCCTCAGGCCATATCCATTGGAAAGAACTGTGACAAATTCGGCATTGTGGCTCATGAGCTGGGTCACGTGGTTGGTTTCTGGCATGAGCATACACGGCCTGACAGGGACCAGCATGTCACTATCATCAGAGAGAACATACAGCAAGGTAAAATAGCCCTTGAGTTTACTCCACCTACTTTTGGATGAGTGGAAATCTTCCTTGCAGTCTGTGATCTAATATGGAAAAGGAGAAGTACTGCTAGTCCTTGCCTCGACCAAGGGCTGAAATAGTGGGTGAATAGAGATTTGGGTGTGCAACTGGAATTGTTGGAAGGTAGGAACATGTCCCTTTCATACCTTTTTTTTTTTTTTTGAGAGAGCGAGAGATTTGTTTTTTCCCTTTAATTGTGTCTTGCATCACAGGTCAGGAGTACAACTTTTTAAAGATGGAAGCTGGGGAAGTGAACTCTCTGGGAGAGACCTATGACTTTGACAGCATCATGCACTATGCTAGGAACACGTTCTCAAGGTGAGAATTCCAGGTCACATCTCCTTAGAGCTACATTCAGCATTTGTGGTTGGCTCTCTATGGTAAGTGGAACCTTAGAGGAGACCCATAGTCTATTGCAGAGATATGTGGCAGTTGCATTAAGCTCTAATGCGTTGCAGAACCTGGAAAATATTTGCAAAAGCAAGGTGGGTGAAGAGAAGTGTGGTGGACTCCTGTTCCCCCCCCCACCCCCCCCACAGAGCACTGGGTAAATATACCTCAGGAACCTTCCAAAGCCATTTTAGCATGCTCTGCTCCTTCCCAGCCAGCACGTATGCGTGCGTGTAGCTGCCTCCCTGCAAGGGGAGTAATATTAAAATCAGTTTTGAGTATCTTGGTTGTCCAGCTCATTCTTTGGAATCAAAACATTGTCTTCAGAGTCCCCAGCAACTCTGCCAAGGAGACTTGAAACTCTAGATCATGATCTTAAGGATTCTTGCTTGTGGGGATTGGGTGGGCAGCATGATTCTTGTGGGACCTGTGATTTCAGCCAGAAAGACTCTCCTCCCTTCTCAGTTGCTTTGCTTGTAAAATGAGAAAAACTATACTTAGTGCAATTTGGAGCCTTGTTCAGCAAAGTTTGTGAAGGGAGTACACAATTCAGTTAGTGGAAAAAGTGAGACCAGAAATCTCAGTGCCACAACCTTGGGCACATCCTTGTAGAAGAAAATATGCTGGGCAGGTAATAAGGTAGTACAAGGTAAATCTGTATTGTGGGTCATTTGCATTGTTTGGGCACTACCTTAAATGTGTACTGTGTGCAGGAGGTTTGAGATTAGGAGTACGCGGTTGTGAGGATCGGGGTGGTCAAAAGAATAAAAGGTTGGCATGTGCAAATGGTGATTTCTCTATTAAATTTTATCATTTGTCCCTGTTTGCTGAGCCTGGAGATCAACAAAAAGCATTTATCCGGCCGTAGAAGTATCTCCCTATCAAATGCAAAGTTATTCCGTGAATTCCTGAGGAGGTTTGAAAATTTACTACCATGCAGAATCTATTTTTGATCAGACCTCTTAAATTTAGCCCCAGGCATGCAGCTGGCATGAAGAATGCCAGCCTGAATTTGTCAATTAAGATTTGATGGATTTACCTCAGAACTTGTGAGAACTGACTTTAGTGCTGATCAGGAATTTTCCTCCCACCAAAATCGACCAACACATCTTCCCTGCAAGAGTTGATTCTAGATTCTTAAACAGATTCTATTTCTCCCCCTCCATTTCTTCCTTTAATTCGAACATTTACAGGAGAATTTTCCATACAAAATATGTTTAATCAAATTATATTTTCTGTTCAAGAACACTGCATCTCTGGCCAGCTCTGATCCAAATGCTCTGCTTACAGTATTTATTTAAAATTTAATGAAAGCAAAAACTCTCTCAGACTCCTTCCCAAGGCTCTTACGCACCTGTGCAGCCCTATGAACGGAATTACTTGTATTCTTAATGTTTAGCCCAGACTTGAAGACTTTTGTATCAGGACTAGGCAGCACTAAAATTATTACTTCTGCCCTGACTTTCCCTTCAGGCTCTACACACAACTATATTGTTTCCTTCAAAAAGAGGAGTCTGCCTCACAGAGCTGAGGCCAAGATCTAAACTCACAGTTAGGATTTGCAGCATGAAGTCAGTAAGACGCTCTGGGATGGAGCGAAATGGTTCCTATGGAGTGGGCAGTCTGGCTTCAAGAGCACATTTTTTTACAGCCTGGAGCTCTGTTTTCTGATTCCTTCCTCTTACTTCAGCTCTGCAGTCTTAATGCTGCCTTTGGGTCTCGTTTGCATGCAAACTCTTGCGCTTGTATGCGCTGACCTTGCATTTTGCTGGAAGCGAGGCCTGAGCTTAAATCCTTTTCTGGAGTGAGATCACAAGTGCAGTAGAGAACTCCTGAGTATTAGGGACCGCATGGAAGTAAGAGTAGCACAAGAAAGAGGCAGAGAGAAACTGGAAACTCATGCAGAGCAGAGGTAGAGTGCTGGATCTTTTTCTCTTGTCTGTGGAAACTGCCAGCCTAGCCTCATCTGCTACTGAACAAACTCCCCTTCCCTCTGCTCATTTGGCTGAGTGTCCAATCTGCACTCCTGCTGAGCCAGATGTCCCATGAACCTTCTGCAAGGATATATTTTTGCGTTTCCTGATTTATGGCAAGGAAACAGAGACAGCAATCCTGATAGATCCAAAGCAAAATTTACTGGCTTGGCAGATTTGCCTGTACATTTGGAAGCTATCTACTGTAGGGAGCTGGGTACTTCAAGACGTACAGTTATCACAAACTGCTTTACGCTTACATGTTAGCATGGGATACATGGTCAAAGGGACAGTGTAGGAGGCCCATCTTTTACCAGGATGACTCTCTGTGCATCGTGCCACTTCTCCCTACTTCACTGCTCTTTGTCTCTGTTCTTTGCTTTAGAGGGGTTTTTCTCGACACCATCCTCCCTCGTCGTGATGGTAACGGAGTCCGGCCAACCATTGGTCAGCGTATTCGTCTGAGTCTGGGAGACATCGCTCAGGCAAGGAAGTTGTACAAGTGCCCAGGTAAATATGGCTTGTGGGGATGGCTCCAGCTTTATCCTACACACATGGTTTATCTGGAAAGCACTGGAGCTCCAGAGCACCTTAATGATCCCTTTGATGAAATGACTCAGGAAATACAGACCGTTAAATGCTTCAAGCTAAAAGTGTGGGAGACCTGAACTTGCCTAATGTTAGTACTTTACTCGTATTCCTGTTTGTTTTAGGGCTTAAGTTGCCTAGTCTCTAGTGAAACCTAGTAAGAGGAGCTGGAGAGCAGGCTGAGGAGAGGGGTTAGGACGTGACATGTGTTTTGCTGTTTTTTTTCTATGCATACACTGTCCAAAACAGAACTAGGGATGTAGGCTCTGTTTAAGGAGCATGGAAATGACATACAAGACCATGAACAGGGTGGGGAGTTAGCAAAGTGGCAAGAGGATGACAGTGGCAGGGGTCTCTGCACACCAGCCATCAAACTTCTAATGAGTTATTTCTATAGGCATTGTCCCAAGGGAGAGCCTTAGGGAGACCCATGGGGTGCCTCTGTGAATGGTTACGGTGTGCAGAGGCTTGGGAGGGTAATGTGGGAGAAAGCTCAAAGATGCTGATTTGTACAACAACCAGGCACTTGAAGCTGGTACTGTGGGCTGTTTAGAGGAGGGTTGCATCACTCTTTTTGCTGCTAAAAGAGTGATAGATTGGGAAGAGCTTTGAAAGAGATCCCATCTACATATATGTGACATACTGAAGACTGTTGGTCTGGTTCCCGCCCTATCCAGAGTTTGCAAAGATTCACCAGAAGAGCCTCGGGGTCACAGATCTGACTGGGAGAAGACTAAATTTACCCATGAGAGCAGAAGGATCCCATTAAAATGGAGATGTTAGGAAAAGTTTGTGCAATAGTTTTAGCTGAGTAGATTAATAGGGAAAACCAGATTTCAGAAAAGGAATCTGCCAGATTTAAGAACAGTTTGACTGTGAGGATGTAAAGAAAAAGCTCCAGTGACGATGGCACACACTCTGGGGACTGTAGCATGAACTGCAGCAGCTAAGAAGGGAGATGGCAGGGAAGATGTGATGCTGGGAGGGAGAAAGTTTAACAAGCTTTACTGCATTTCTGCTGGTAGTGAAACATCCATGAGAAGATACTGGCAAATGAGAGAGTTGCTCTGACTTTGCAGAGTGACTTTGTAACATTAGTAATAACGAAAAAAAAAAAAAAAAAAAGACTTGTGCAGTCATGGCCCAATGGTCTATCTAAATCGGTTGATCTGGCCAGCATATTGATCCAGTTGAGAGTGGCTTTGGTTGATCTTAAACTTTCCCTAAATCAGCATGTGCTAAACAGGACAAGGATTCCACTTGGAATAAGCACATCACAGGGAGAGGGGAGAAAGTGGGAAGGAGAGGTAGGTTTTACCAGTATATAGAGAGTCACATCTTAACTCAGTGTTTGACTAGCACTGGTCTGTGAACCGTTCATGAGGCTGTGGAAAATGGTCCATAACTGGACCCCTTTTGGGTATCCAGCTACAGGTTAGACAGTATGGGTTCATAATGGTCTAGGATAAATTCTGAGGATGAACAGCACTTCAGGGTCCGTGATGTTTGGGGATGACTGCTTTAGCTTGTAGTGGTATAACTTTCTTAGATTTGCAAGTCCTGACAATTTTTTCTTTTAATTTCTTGTAATTTTCTCAAACAAACTCCTTTTTTGTTGAAATTTGCCTTATTTGGCCTCATACAAGATGTGGCTTTTGGAAAATTATCTCACAGATTTGTTTGGAGATTAAGTCATTTGAATACTCAAAAAAAAAAAAAAAAGCCTTGCCCCATATGTTTGTTTGAGCCAGAGTTAATCCAGTCAGACTTTCCACTCACTTAACTGGAAGCATTCGACTAAAGCTTCAGACTTCTCAAGGTGAGCTAAAAATCCAACACTGATCTGAGGTTAGAGGCAAATTAAAAGCTACAAAGCAATGTTCTTTAAAATGAGAATTCTGAGTCTTGAATTTTCTACTTGCACAGTAGAACTTTTCTACTCCTTGTTTATGTCACAAAGCTTTAGCAGAGATTATTCCAGTTCAGAACACTTGACAGCAGAATGATCAGAGCGCTAAGCTTATTAAACCTGTTTTCTTCAATGTCTATTATTTAGTTTTGGTTTTTTACTTTCCGTGAACATTTATATACAGGCTGCATTTGAGAAGAGGTGCAATATATTTAATGACTTAGATATTTGCAGCTGTTATTTGAATCTGTAGTTTTGAAAAAGTTCTGTAATGACTTCTGCAAAAGGCAAAGCTCAGGAGCTCAAGACCAAGGGACGTTAGTTATATGTTCAAAACAGAGTTTGAATGAAATCTTTGATTGAGGACAACTTTGTTCAGTAGTCTAGGTGTGAATTTTTAGATAAAACACAACAACCTAGTCCAGAAGTTGAATGGCAGATGGTTTTCCCTTTTTGAAAGAGAGCACCCACCTGAGAATGCCTGGGAATCACCCTGCAAGACAACTAGCATGATGGAAGATGAGTTACAGTGTGTGTTAGTACTTGCCAGAATGACTGCTGTGTTTGTTGGAAGAGACAGAGCTCTCCAAGTCATTAGACTGGAGCTTTTGTGGATGCTATAGTTAGGGCTGTCTTAGCTTTTGCATTCTAAAACCCTGCTGTTTTAAATTGCTCTTAATTCACCAAAGTTTACACCTGCTGGTTAAAAGCTAGTGCCAAGCTAGGTGAAGCCAGATGAAACGTGCTGAAGGAATTTTTGGAAGACAGTATGCCTTCTGCTGCATAGTGGCAAATGCTAGATTTAATGTGGCCAAATGGTTGATGATTTGATGGGTATAGTCCCTACAAAAGACTTTTAAATGGCTTGTCCCATTCTCTTGTGCTCTGCAAAAGCCAACAGGCCTGCATGGCAGTGCCAACTGTGCAGGAATAGTTAAACTTTAAATTGGGAGTGGTCCTACCTTACATCTTCTGATTCAGTTCCCAGTGCGGTTTTGACAAGGTGTAACATACTGGTAATCAGCTGATGAGTAGTAAATGCCTGTCTCTCAGCTACCTCATTTGAAAATGACTTCTGAAGCATTTATTGCTTCCTCTGCCTTGATTTTCGCTTCTGTTCCTTTCCAGCAGCTAAGTGCGCAGCAGCCTCTTCACCATGTGCCAAGACCACCTCGGTTCAGTCTCTTGGAACCCAGAAGCACTAAACACTCATCTCACTAGACCTGTTGTCTGCCTTGCTACTAAGTGGAGTACATTTGTATTGGTTATTGATGGGCAGTGAGAGATTGTGCTCTACAAGTGCACATGCATTGCTCATTAATATCCTGTTACCCTCTGCACCTGCAGGCGATCACTCTCTTCTGCACTGAAAAGCCAGACAAATCCTTCTAGGAGAGTTTCTTTTGCGGGATTTGGATAGTTAGCTAGGTCTCCTTTCTGACATTTTAGCAGAGCAGTGTTTGCTGGTAGATACATTAGTACCTCCTCCATAATTACTCCAATTACTGTGTGATTACACTTAGGAGAATTAGATCTGGGCTGTCTGTAACGGGCACTGTGATTCAATGGAGAGCAGTAATGCTCTTTAATCTGTAATTGTGGTAATGTAGAGTGTGTTCCCAGGGATTTAGGGCTTTCCTTATGGTTTCATGGGGGCAGCTTTGTTCATATAGATTTTTGAGCAGAGAATGTTCATATATGTTGGCAAGTTATAGACTGGAATCCTCTCTCTACTAAGACACCTTGCCAGACGCCTGCATTCCTAGAGTCATCCTAAGCTGATGACTACTCCAGACCTTGCACTGCTTGTGGTGATGCCAGGGGAGTGGCTGAAAAATGACTGCTGCCCTCAGAATAAGTGTGGCTGAGATTCAGCTTCTTTGGGATGTTCATCTGCTGGGCACCATGCATTTCCTGGTTGAGGGTCCTAGAAGCATCCAGGGTAATCAAGCTGGAATTACCCTAACAGATTGTGCCACAAATAACAAGTCAAGGCATCTTTGCAAGAGGTGGAAAGGAAGAAAGTATATTTGTTCTGTGAATAGAAGTCTTCAGGCTTCTTTTCCAGTGCATGCAGGCCATCACCTTTTACCAGCAGCTCTCTCTGCCGATGTGAAGAATACAGACATCATCACCTGACAGACATGTTGGGAGAGGCTGGAGATTAGCTGTTTCTGCAGATACTAAAACTCCCTGTGCAATGTCCTTTGTAGTTGCATAATGGTAAGGGGTGTTCTCAGGGCTCAAAATTGTTTCTTTGAGAAGGAGGGAGCAGTGTGGAGGTTTTAAACTCTCGTTTTTCGCTTTATACCTCTAGGGCAGGCGCATGCGTTTTTCCTACCTGTTTTGTTCAGTGGTGCTACTTTCTAGCAGTTTTTAAATACCTTTGCCTTTCCTGGCAAGAATCACTTTGCCAGAGTCTGTGCTGACCTGTGCCTTGAAATATGTGCAACTCATTCCCAGTAGTGACTCCACCTTCTAGAGAACCCCTAGGAGCTGTTTGGATGAGCAAAACCCCTTTTTGTGTCCCTGCCTATTGTTCATCTTGTCTGGCCTGTCAAGCTGTGGGTCAAAGTACTTCAGGGAAATGAAGAATTTCTAGCCTAGGTGACTCCCTCTCCCCCTTATGGAAGATATTAAACTTCTTGAATGGGACTGGTCTCTTTTCACCTCCAACTTCCGACCTGCCCATCTAAATGTGACCATGGCTGAAAAATTGATGTGTGTGTGATAGCATCAGGCAGAGGAGCATCACTGGCATTTCCATGAGAAAGGGAGCCAGATGTTCAGTCTTGTCAGATCTTTCAAAGCACTGCTGCTTAATGAGGGATTTTTGGGGGCTGCCTTGCCGTCACTGAGGAAACCAAGTTGCAGGTCAAGGGCAGCTTTATAACATCAGCAGTTTATGAAATTAAGCAACTGGAAAGCAGGAGAGACAAGGTCCATGCTCTGTGGGATGGTTATTTGCATGTGTCTGGTGATCACACATTCTCAAGGAAATGGGAGCTTTGATATGTGTGATTCTCTGACCTAGCCAGTCAGCTGCTCTGCACATGTACATACTCTTTCCTTGTTCCAGCGCAGTCCTCCAGGCTCAGAGGACAGGAACCACAGTAGTCACTGCCTTCCCAGATGTTGGAAGCTGCCATTCCCTAAAGAAACATGTGCATGTGCATATTATTTGCTTCCCAAAAGTCATTCTGGCTTTTACATTTCATCAACTGCAGCTGGCCACAGAAAAAGGCAAGGTGGAGAGCAGAGGAAGCTGCAGTGTTCACATTTTACCCTGTGCAGTGGGTCAGCACCTTAGATGCTGGACAGCCAGAGCCTAGGGGCAGGAGGGCTTGCCCTGCTTTGGTTACAATATTTTAACCAAAAAGAGGCAATTAACAATGGTAGCTAAGGAGAACTTTATTGAGCAGCATATAATAAAGGGAAAAGAGATTTGCTGACAGCCGTCTTGGGGTTGTGGAGGGGTTAATATTTTGTATTTGATCGACGGATCAGATATTCTTCAACAGGGTTAAAACCTAAATGTGCTGGCAAGTGGAAGGAGGGGGGAAGGGAGAAGGGTGCCTTTTTTAGAGGCTATTTCCCTGTTCCCTGTACTGATAAACTTCTACGTGGTAATCCTGGCAAATTTCACCTCACCCCCTTTGGTGAGGTGTCAGATGGTAAATGGCACTTTTGGCCACTGCCAGGGGGAACTGAATAAGCATCCTTAGAGTACAAGCCACCAACCTGCACACAGCAGCCAGGTGCAAACACTTCAACAGCCCCTGGCGTCTTTCAGAGGGTAACTCCTTGCTGCTGTGTTTTTTGTGTCTCTTGCAGCTTGTGGAGAGACCTTGCAGGACACAACAGGGAATTTCTCAGCCCCTGGCTTTCCAAACGGTTACCCCTCCTATTCCCACTGTGTCTGGAGAATCTCGGTGACCCCAGGGGAGAAGGTAGGTGCGACACCAGCTCAAGGAGTGCTCTGCACTTCCCTGAGAAGTGGCTTTGCCTGTGACAATAGTGTCAGCAGCTGGCAGCATACTCTAGATCTCTGCATGTCTGGAGTGCAGAGTTGGAGCCTGAAAAGGTTCCTGAGCAACGTCTTTGTCCTCCCAGAGACTCACCTGCCTGCAGGGAGGGAGTCCCAGGTGTCAGGAATTCTTGGTCCTGAGGAAGAGGAGAGTTAATATGGGAGTAGAAACCCCTCACAGTTGGGGGCAATGTGTTGATCTCCGAACTCACTCCTCTCAGTTCAAGGCAAAACCCTTCCTGGATAGTTTCCTCACATATTCAGCTTGCCACGTGCTAGCTGACCGCGCTGAGAGCTGAGGAAGTCCCCTTTTGAAGACTGCTGTCAGTCAGATAAGTTGCATAAAATGTGCCAACCAGATGGGGTCCTGGGGGGAGCTGGAGGAGTCATGAGTGACACCGGTGACCTACTGCTATCACACAAGGCAGAATGCCCCTGTCAGGGGACTCATGCTGAGCCCCAGTGCAGCTCAATCAGCCCTTCCGTCCACTTGCTTTCTAGCTCCTTTTGTGTTATTGATCTTCATGTAGAAATAAAATCTTTCCTTAATTCATTGATACCAGCCCTTTATACCTTTCATATCGCAGCGTGGCTTTGGAACTCCTCAGCAGAGCAGCTTCATTGAGGACCACCCTTGAGAAGTGTTTAAGACTCTGACACAAACAAACAAACAAAGGCAGAGATCACATGTTTTTCAGTAATCATCTTGCTCTTGGACTTAGTTCTGTTGCCTGCAGGCCCAGTTCTATGCAGTGCTGAACCCCCACCTTTAGCTTCGGGGAGAGCTTTGCAAGGGGAAGAGGTATCATGAATAGTCCAGGCTCTGAAACAATTATAGTGTGGCTTTTACAGTGTGAATGTTACTTCAGCTACTGTAAATTCTCCCTTTGCCCCTCAGCCTCTTTAGAAGAGTTATATCAGATATGACCCAGCATCTAAATGCTGTAGCACTGGTATTAAAAAAAAAAAAATCAGGTTCAGATTAAGTGCTTTACTTATTTTGCCATATTTAAGCAAATGCAATAATTGGTACACTGTAGTATCACAGCAGTGGCACTAGCTTAGAACAGATATTGGTTGTGGAGATTCATCTGTATAGAAACAGATGAATCTCCTTTTATTGTCCAAAGTCAGAGAATTGCAAAAGTCTGAACAAAGTAAGTGACATGATTACGAGCATTCTGTACATCCTGCCAGGTCCGTTACTTCACCTTGGGAGGAGAGTGTCTATTTTAACCTAATGACATTCTTTTGGCAGGAAGTAGATGTAATATATGGGTCAAATATTGCAAGGACATAATGCTACAAGTATGTCCCGTTCAGTGACTTCCATAGGCCTAGAGCAAGGCCCGTAATCCTTGTTATGGAAGAAAGAGACCAAAAGGATAAAATTTTCAAGCTAAATCCTGCTCTGTAAAGCCACTGAATGCTGTTGAATCACAGTGATCACATGAGCATAATTATCAGAACGTGGAAATCACAGAATCACAGGATCACAGAATCATTTAGGTTGGAAGGGACCTCTGGAGATCATCTAGTCCAACCTCCTCCCACTCCAGCAGGGCCATCTAGAGCACATTGTCCAGGATCACATCCAGACGGGTTTTGAATATCTCCAGGGAAGGAGACTCCACTACCTCTCTGGGCAACCTGTTCCAATGCTCTGTCACCCTCACAGTAAAGAAGTTTTTTCTCATGTTCAGAAGGAACTTCCTGTGTTTCAGTTTGTGTCCGTTGCCTCTTGTTTTGTCACTGGGCCTGTCTGAGAAGAGTCTGGCCCCATCCTCTCGACACTCCCCCTTCAGATACTTGTACACATTGATGAGATCGCCTCTCAGTCTTCCCTTCTCCAGGCTGAACAGGCCTAGCTCTCTCAGCCCTTCCTCACATGACAGATGCTCCAGTCCCCTAATCATCTTAGTAGTCCTAGGCTGGACTTGCTCCAGGAGCTCCATGTCTCTCTTGTACTGGGGAGCCCAGAACTGGACACAGCACTCCAGGGGAGGCCTCACCAGGGCTGAGGAGAGGGGCAGGATCACCTCCCTCCACCTGCTGGCAACACTCTGCCTCATGCACCCCAGGATCCCATTGGCCTTCTTGGCCACCAGGGCACACTGCTGCCTCATGTTTAACTTGTTGTCCACTAGGAC